CTGTGATCAGCTGACAGAGGAAGACAAGGCTAGAGCCTGGTTCACAGATGGTTCTGCACGATATGCAGGCACCACCCAAAAGTGGACAGCTGCAGCACTGCGCCCCTTTTCTGGGACATCCCTGAAGGACAGTGGTGAGGGCAAATCCTCTCAATGGGCAGAACTTCGGGCAGTGCACTTGGTTGTGCACTTTGCCTGGAAGGAGAAATGACCAGATGTGTGATTATAGACTGATTCGTGGGCCATAGCCAATGGTTTGGCCGATGGTCAGGGACATGGAAGGAACATGATTAAAAAATTGGCAAGAAGGAAACTCAGGGAAGAGGTATGTGGATGGACCTCTCTGAGTGGGCAGAGGATGTGAAGATATTTGTTTCCCATGTGAATGCCCATCAAAGGGTGACCTCAGCAGAGGAGGACTTAAATAATCAGGTGGACAGGATGACCCGCTCTGTGGATACTAGTCAGCCTCTTTCTTCAGCCACTCTGGTCATCACCCAGTGGTCTCATGAGCAAAGTGGCCATGGTGGCAGGGATGGAGGTTATGCGTGGGCTCGGCAACATGGACTTCCACTCACCAAGGCTGATCTGGCTACAGCGACTGCTGAGTGCCCAATCTGCCAGCAGCAGAGACCAACACTGAGCCCCCAATATGGCACCATTCCCCCGGATGATCAGCCAATTACCTGGTGGCAGAATGATTACATTGGGCCACTTCCATCATGGAAGGGGTAGCGTTTTGTCCTTACTGGAATAGACTTACTCTGGATATGGATTTGCCTTCCTGGCACAAAATACTTTTGCCAAAACTACCCACGGAACGCCTTATTCACCGTCATGGCATTCCACACAGCATTGCTTCTGACCAAGGAAGTCACTTCACAGCTAAAGAAGTGCAGCAGTGGGCTCATGCTCATGGAATTCACTGGTCTGACCGTGTTCCCCATCATCCTGAAGCAGCCGGTCTGTTAGAACGGTGGAATGGCCTTTTGAAGTCACAGTTACAGTGTCAGCTTGGTGCCAATACCCTGCCGAGCTGGGACCAAGTTGTCCAGGAGGCAGTACATGCTCCGAATCAGCACACAATATATGGTACTGTTGGTGCCAATACCCTGCAGGGCTGGGGCAAGGTTCTCCAGAAGGCTGTATGTGCTCTAAGTCAGGACCCAATATATGGTACTGTCTCTCCCATAGCCAGGATCCACAGGAATCAAGGGGTGTCAATGGGAGTGGCACCACTTACCATTACCCGTAGTGATCTACTAGCAAATTATTTGCTTCCTGTTTCTGTGACCCTATGCTCTGCTGGCCTAGAAGTCATAGTTTCAGAGGAGGGAATGCTTCCACCAATATACACAACAGTGATTCCATTGAACTGGAAGTTAAGGTTGCCATTCAGCCACTTTGGGCTCCTCACTCCTATGAGTCAACAGGCTAAAAGGGGAGTTACTGTGCTGGCTGGGGTGATTGTTCCTGACTACCAAGGGGAAATCAGACTACTACTCCACAATGGAGGTAAGAAAGAGTCTGTATGGAATACAAGAGATTCCTTAGGGCACCTCTAAGTATCACCATGCCCTGTGATTAAGACCAATGGGAAACTACAATAATCCAATCCAGGCATAGTGGCCCAGGCCTTTCAGGGATGAAGGTTTGGGTCACCACACCAGGTCGTGAACTATGACCAGTTGAGGTGCTTGCTGAAGGTAAAGGAAATACAGAATGGGTAGTAGAAGGTAGTTACAAATACCAGCTGTGACAACATGACCAGTTACAGAAATGAGGACTGTAATCATCATGAGTATTTTCTCATGATGTTATGAATATGTGTGTGCATATTATGTATATGTATGTGTGTATAATAACTTTGTTTTCTTTCTTCTCTTATCCCCTTATCATGTATCATATTATCTCAGTCTGTTTTCTGTTGCTTATAACAGAACACCTGAAACTGGGTAATTCACAAAGAGACAAAATGTATTTCTTACAGTTCTGGAGCTGGGAAGTCTAAGGTCGAGGTTGCACCTGGCGAGGGCCCTCTTGCTGATGGAAACTCTGCAGAGTCCCAAGGCGGTGCAGGGCATCGTGTAGTGAGAGGGCTGAACATGCTCATTCAGGTTTCTCTTCTTCTCCTTATAAAGCCAATCCTGTGATAACCCACTTATCCATTAACCCATTAATCCACCATGAATGGCTTGATCCAATCATCTCTTAAAGGCCCCACCTTTCAAATACCATAGTCAGATTTCCCATCCTCTTAATATTGCTACATTGGGTGTTAAGTTTCAACCTGACTTTTGAAGGGGGCAGGCATTCAAGTCATAGCAGATATATTGATGTTACATTATAATATTTCAGTATTATCAACTTTACATCATGGTATTTATGTCACAAGATATCAAAAAGCAGAGTAAGCAACACTCAAGGACTTTACCTCCTCTTTTAGGGACTGGGTCAATGCATTTTTTATTTTACACAGTTTTGTTGTATCATGTTAGGTGGAATTATGACCTTGTTTTTGTCTTCATATGGAGATTGAGTATTGTGTATGGAGATGTGTATGGGTGCCAAATTGACGAGGAGTGGACTTGTGATGGTTAATTTCATGTGTCAACTTTACTGGACCACAGGGTGCCCAGATATTTAGTCAAATACTCTTCTGGGTATTTATGTGAGGGTGTTTTGGGATGAGATTAACATTGAAATCAGTAGACTGAGTAAAGCAGATTGCCCTCCCTGATTGGTATCACCCAATCAGTTGAAGGCCTGAATAGAACAAAAAGGCTGATCCTCCCCGAATTAAGAGAGAATTGTTGCTGCCTGACTGTTTTTGAATTGGGACATTGGCTTTATCCTGCCTTCAGGCTTGAACTAAAACATTTCAGCTCTTCCTGGGTCTCAAGCCTGCTAGGTTTTGAGCTGGAACTAAACCATTGGATCCCCTGTGTCTCCAGCTTGCTGAGTCACCCTGCAGATATTGGAACTTGTCAGACTCCATAATAGTGTGAGCCAATTCCCTTTATATAT